AAAGAAATTAATCATAGAAACATTCACTTTAAGGTAAATGTGGGGCCCCCTTTGGTCTCTCTTCATCTATGATTCTTTCTTCTTTTGTAAAATTTGTGATTTCATTGTTATATTTGTCGGTAATTCATAACGTGTCATCTACGTGTTTATTTATCCCAATAATAATAAATTAATTACGATTTTTATTCATTAATTATTGAATATTGAAGTATAAATTCAACAAATATCCAATTTCAACCCCAACTCTAAACCCACGACCCAGTCGTAACCACCCAATCTCTAATCCTATTATCATTTGAATGGTGGAATTTTTTTGTACTGATATATCCATACATTAATATAAGTATATCGACTTAACATGACACGATAATTCACTATAAGAATGATTTTATAGTGTCCATATGACTCAAGCGAGTGAACATCGAACTCAAAAAAGTCACAACTAGGTGGGGAGCTGAATCTTAACTTAGTTAACGAGTCACAACATTGAAAAGCTTGACAGACGATTCTAACCAAACACGATTATTTTATTTTTTCTGAGCGACGTATTATTTTATAAATTCAAAAAACTTTTTGGTTGGTCTTTGTTTTAACTTTAGGGAGGTTTAATATGTAATATTAATTTCATGTTCATATGTTTTTTTTTAATATTTTATTTTATTCCATATTTTTACCAAAAATATCTTGAATTTTTAAATCACTATAATCTTTTTTTTAATTGGCCAAGCATGCTCATCCATTCAATTTTCTAATAAGTAATTAATCTAAAATGTCAACTGTTCCTGCATCACTTAATGGAGAGAAACATAATCTATGATATTTGGATATAAAATACAAATCTTAATCTCCTTAATTATTTTTTAATTGTGGATTAAAGAACAAATCAACATTTCCTGCCTAGATGATTTATTATTCATTTTTTTATTATTAATAAATACTTGTGATTAAGAAGCCTTTTGATTATACTTTACTAAATTATTTTATGATGAGATTAAATAAATAATCATAGTTTCCCATTGTTCTGGAAAATAATCATAATAAATAAAATATTATAACGGTTAATTTAGAGTTAACCCCTGTCTGGGCTCAATTTTTCCAAATTATAAAGAGAGGAATAATAATTTTTTGGGAAATGTGTGGTTAAAAAAAGGAATTTTTTTAGTTTTACGTGTAATATTATTTGATTGGAGAATGTATGGTTGATAAGAAGAGAGAAAAATGAATTTTAATTTTATGATTTTTTTAAACATTTTATTCAGTTCACAACTAGAAAAAAATGCCATATAATTAAGTGACCTTTAATATTAAAGAATGTCCCAATTAAGTTCATGATTGGTGGAGATTAAAATCAGATTTTTGGTAGATTTTGATAAAAAAATGATGAAACGCATGGTTGAAAAATTATGAATCTTATAAAATAAGCGGTTAAAATTATTATTAATTTGGGTATCTTACCAAACATGGGCCATATACATAAATGTTGCCACCTTTCTTTATTGCCAACAATTTTAAAAGTGTTGACATTCTACATTTAGTAAATTATTAATAATTATTTATAAAGCTCAACAAAAGCAAATACTTGGTTTGATGATCGATAATTGTTATATACTAGTCCTGAAATTTATTAAAAGTTTTCAATTATATCGGCAAAATTGTCATTTTAAGAAAGCTTGAAAAAGATTATACAGAACGATAAATTTATCATAAATAATCAAACGATGTAAATTTATGGGTATAATTGTCATTTCACGCAACAACGTAGGCTTTAATTAAACATCACCCCTGTTTGGTGGGTTTTAATCAAATTTTTTAATCGATTTTAATAACAATTGATGATTTATATAATTGAAAATTTGTGAAATTCATCAAATATAAGAATATAAGATAGAAAATTCATTAAAGTCTTTAACTTTAATGACGGTCAAGCAGGGCCACAAGTATTTTACATGTACCTTTTTGCGTGTAGATTCTGTGTATGCCAAAGCCAAAGAGGCTGTTTTGTTTTCTTCTCCTCACACATTAAAAGAGCACCAAATAATGGATTATCATGCATCAGTGTCTCGTTATCTCAGTTCAACTTGTCGGAATCCCTTCATTTTCCTGCAAGCAAAGTCTGTTTTCCGTCAAGTTTTTCAGATTCCGGCCTAGTGACACCTCTACTTTCTCCTCACTTTCGCCTCAAAATTTAAGGTCTTTCTGCTTTTCATTCTATTTGAGATTATGAGTTTGTTTCTTTGATTAAAAATTTTAGTCTCCGTGCAAGTTCTGCTTTGTTTGCTTTTACTGTGAAAAGATGGAACACTGAAGAAAAAGAAGGGGCGTTGTGTGATTTTTTTTTATTATAATCCCTTTATGATGCATTATCTGAAAAAATATATATATGGGATTTTTTTTTTCAAATTAATCTCAATACAGATTAGTTCTGTCTGGTTTCTTGATTGTTTTGGCATAAGTTGCTTGAGGCTAACAAAATCTAATAAATAGTTTTCTGATTTCTGGGCTTTGTGTTTTGATCTGTGTAAATTTCCAAATTCTGTACAAGATTGGTGTGATCATGTCTACATTAGATTACATGCCTATTTATGTGATTTGAGTATGATTTGAATCTGTTTTGATAAAGAATTGTGCTTGTGAAGGTTATTGGTGGTGGTGGTGGTGGTGTGATATGGGGCATTTATCGTCTATGTTCCATGGATTAGCCAGGACCTTTTCGACCAAAAAAATGAAGAGTTTGAAGAGCAATTGTGGGAATTCTGATGCCAAAGAGGCTGTTGAATCTATGATAAAAGATGCAAAAAGGAATGATTTGATACTGAGATCATCAGGCATTGTCAACGTCAACGGGTCGAAAAATTTTGCTTCTGTTTTCTCAAAGAGAGGGCAGAAAGGTGTGAATCAAGATTGCTGCGTCGTTTGGGAGGTATATTTAACTACGAAAATGCGGTTTTCTTTGAGGTTTTTTGGTGATAAATAGGATGTTTTATTTACGGTTGTAGGAATTTGGATGCCAAGAAGATATGATATTCTGTGGGATATTTGATGGGCATGGTCCGTGGGGACATTTTGTAGCGAAGAGAGTTAGAGAGTCGTTGCCATCGTCTCTTCTTTGTAATTGGCAAGAGACACTGGTTGAAGCTTCACTTGATCTAGATTTCGATATAGAATCGGATAAAAAGCTTCATAAATTCAATATATGGAAGCATTCCTACTTGAAGACGTGTGCTGCTGTAGATCAGGATTTGGAGCATCACCGTAAAATCAATTCATTCAACAGTGGAACCACTGCATTGACAATTGTTAGGCAGGTAATGAAAGTTACTTATTTTTTAACTTGCATTATGATAACTAATCCTTAGACGACTTTTACTAGCGAATGAGTTGGCCTAAATCGGGGATGTTCTTCCAGGGCGAGCTTATTTTCATTGCAAATGTTGGTGACTCTCGTGCCGTATTGGCCACCACTTCTGACAGTGGCAACCTGGTACCGGTTCAGCTTACTGTCGACTTCAAGCCTAATCTTCCCCGTTAGTCTTTCTCTTTCCCCTCCCTCGCTCTCTGCCTCTCTATAGTCCAATATCAGAGAATCATATGACTGCTAAAATGTGTGCAGAGGAGGCTGAGCGGATAATTCAGAGCGAAGGCCGGGTATTCTGTCTGCATGATGAGCCCGGTGTTCATAGAGTGTGGTTGCCGGACGAGGAATCTCCTGGACTAGCAATGTCTAGAGCATTCGGGGACTATTGTGTTAAGGATTTCGGACTTATTTCCGTCCCTGAAGTGACGCAGAGACATATAACGAGTAAAGATCAATTCGTCGTGCTGGCAACAGATGGGGTATATATGCCTTCTTAACTAATCTGGATTTGCAAAGATACTGATTTTGCTATAGCTGCCTTACTTTTCTATTTATGTATTTTGCTATACTGTCGAACACTTTATTGATGATACGGATAATGAACTATTCTTTCGTGTGAAGGTGTGGGACGTTGTATCGAACCAAGAAGCCGTGCAAATAGTATCAACAACTCCGGACAAGGGAAAATCGGCTAAGCATCTGGTCGAGTGTGCCGTCCGTGCATGGAAGAAAAAGAGAAGGGGAATAGCTATAGATGATATATCAGCAATTGTACTCTTCTTTCATTCTTCTCATTTGTGTGAAATTAACCCTGTATCTACAGCAAAATAATTCTATCAAAAAGTTCAAATAATTGCTAACTCTACTTTTCTCTTCTTGATTATATCCATACAAAGTGAAAGGGGATCAAATACAAGAATGCGACGAGAAATGATTCATGTGAATATATTAATAATCTATTCTAAATTTGCATCAATTTCATAATGAAGAATGCCCTTCTCTAGATATAGCCCTGCAGTTGTAATATACATATATTATTGAGAAGGATAGCAACCATTGCTTCGAAATCACACTGGAAAGTACCACAAAATTGAAAATATGAAAGACGGACTCTTTAGAGAAACTGATTCATGTTCGAAGGGTGCTTAACCTTGCTCCACACCATAATGAAGAGAACTTATGATAATTGTTTAAAAGCAAAACACAAAACTAAAAGAATGTTCATAATTCCTTTTGCAAGCAAGGAATGGAAATGATTTCCACACAATAGTGAAAAATAAATATACACTATTGAGAACTGAATGAATGACCAAAGTTTACAATGTTGAATTACATTCTCAGAATCCAAATTTCCCTTCAATAGTCCCCGTCTATGTTCAATAATTCTGAATCCAATATTCTCACATACAAAAACTAGCTATACATCTACCAATGGCTACATTTAGTCTGCCATCACTAGAAACTGTAAATTGTAAAATGCACTCAGATTTTTGTTTGAGGAACCCTAGATGCTATCATCATTATAAAGAATCATCAACAATAACTAACTATAATCACGTTTTCTTTTCACAGAACCTAGATGCTGTAACGTGTTGTAGATTCTTATCCAAGACCTAATGATCATGTTCTTCAATGATACTTGTGTTCAGTGGAACACTTGAGGAGAAGCATAAAACTCGCCTTCAATAAACATTGGTCTGAGATCTTCTTCTTGATTCATGAACTCCAAGGGGAAAGAAACAAGTAATCCTTTCACGGATTTTAACTTTGTCAACAAGCCAAGATTGACACGTTCACCATTCTGATAGGATTCATGCACTGAAGAAGCTACTCCTAAGTCTATAGTGGTGTGCCCAAGTTTTTGTTTCCAATGACTAACACTTTGTCTAAGTGAAGATCTGCAGTTAATAAAAATGTGGAAAAATGTAAGACAAAAGCATAGAAGAAAATAAGACATTAAATGAGAATACAGATTACTAAAGAGGCACCTGGAGTGTATGAGGTCATTGGGGATGCAAGAGAAAACATCTTGGTAAACTTTTGTATTTGCCTGGAAAAGGGAAAATAAAGCTGCTCAATAAAAAGGGGGAGACGAAAATGAAGAAGTAAAATAGACAGAGTAATCATAATGTTTTTCCTTTTCAAATATAGATTCGATCTTAAGATTCGTGCAAGAATAGAATATTACAAGAGAAAACTGCAAAAGCTCGAAATGATATGTAATCTTGAAATGATATGAAGTACGAAAACTACTTCTTTTCTAATACTTCTACTAACGCTAAAATTTATCAGTTGTTACTTCAAAATTAAACCCATGCATGCATGTAACAACACATACCTACATGAAACATCAAGTTGTGAGAGTACCATAGTTTCTTTTGAGCACCAAGTTTACATCTTTAATACCAAATCAAAATCTATTCCAAGTACACGGTCAGATATTTAATACTGTTCTCACCTTTGCAGTTTCTACCCACAAATCCTTGAATGTAGAGTCAGCCATAGGGTCTCTTATTCGACTAAGCTGGAGAAGAGGGAGCAAAAATTTAGTGTCATGAAATTTTTTAATAGCGTGTAAATATTTCGTAACTGTACCCACTTCTTCAGTATTTAATCCTAGGTGCTCTCCCCACAAGGAAAGTCGAAGGCTCAAAGAAAATTTTCCAGCTTTCCAAGGCTCCTCATTCATTGATGACTCGATAAATTCCGTATCTTCAATCAAGACAGCAATCTAAATATCATGTCAGATATAAAAATCCACCAATTAATGGTTAAAATGATGAGGTAATAGGCAAGTCCTGGAGTTCGAAGAAGAAATGAGCAAGATGAAATAGTTGCAAATTTGGAGCAAAACTTCATGTATACGAAATATATAGGATAGTTCAGTAATATGTATTTTAAGCCTTTTGACGTTTCAAAGAAATTTTTACCGGATGTGTTCATTGTTGATAATAGGGTACTGGAGCCTTTAGCTGGTAAGATGAGAGTAATTTATGGAGATACAAGTTCTAGTTCTCATAAAAAGGTTCTCTTACAGATACTATCTCAACTTAAATTGTACATCCCCAATCACTGTTGCCCCAATATTTGACCTGTGAAACCATCAAACTTTTTAAGTGAGGCAAAGATTTCAGGTCATTGGATGGATTATATATTTGTGAACCTCCTTCTCCCAGAAATTTAACATATCAGTTATCACATTTTCTTACTTAACAAATAGAATGTGAATGACTATTTTGTATCATGTTATGGATTAAGCCCTAATCTCTTTTGAGAGTAATATTAAATATAAAGCAATCAGAAACTGACCAAAACACACAGATTTGTAGTGATTCTCTCTCAATGTGAGAGCTATATCTACTCGCCACTGCAGATTTCACTATATTGGAGAAAAACTGCACAAGGATTTCCTCATTTCTCTGCTCCTAAAAATCCTTTATATATAATTTAGTTAGAATCGCGGTGGAGGCACCTAAGCTCTACGCAGTTCTACACATCGCTCATTCATGAACTTGTGCAGCCTGTAAGAAAGATGGCTGTGCATCCATTTAAAATTTTGACCTCTTAGAATGTGACATAAGTCTATACCGCTCTGTAAGTTGGAGGAAAGAGAGCAGTCAAACATATCCAACCAAGACGTTAAGTATTTCACCTCTGAGTCTCTTGATCCTAGCATGCTCCTATCATTTATATTGGATGATCCAACCAAAGCAAAACGATCATCAACTATCATCACTTTGCTATGAATATAAACCTGTATGAGAAAAAGAAGTTCAAATTAGGTTAATATAGAAGGATGAAAATTAGTTACTTCCCACGTTTCAAAGAGAGAGCAAAAGCATCAGCAATAAAGTAAAGTATGTGTTGAGCCTTGCAAATCTTTGGAAGAGGAAATTCTTTCTGAAGAAGTATAATGTTAAGATATTGCTGTATGACAAAAAAAACTGATCCATACTGGCTCTAGTTCAACTTACATAAATCATACCAGTTATCAAAGATGACTATTCTACTATTTTGAATCATGACTAAAAGAAATTTCAACAATAATTTGTCGAAGTAACTTCTGGAATACTGACTATGAAATAACTTGTGGAAGATTGGAAATATTACCTGACTTGTAACCACAGGACCACCATCAAAAAGTCTACCATAATTTCTTAGAGCATAGAATGATATGAAATCATGAGCAATCGGCCCCAACTCGGAGCAAAGTTTTTGCAATATTGAACTTTCTCCTCTGCAGATGGTACGGTATTGCCAATGCATGATAGCTCTTACAGTAGCTGCACCACTGTCATCCACACCCCCCTGTTTACTCAGAAGTATGTAATGGAAAAAGAAGGATAGACCCAACGGAAAACTCTAATCAGAATAGAGAATCACCACCTGAAAACCGGGTAAGAGTGGAATGATAATTATAGCTCTGAAGCACTTCCTTTCTCTGTGTGCCCGGATTATGCGATTATATAAAGATTCAAGTACGCGATTCTGGATGACTTCATCTTCTGAAAGTCCTGATATGAAAAATTGATTCTGCAAATATCAGAGAATATGCAAAATGATTAGTAAATTCTTTTCAGATAATCTAACAGAAGTTACAAAGCGGAAAATCCTTGGTGTAATTTGCACATCTAAAGTTGTTAAGATACATAAAATTAATACCGGATATCCAATATTTGAAGCTTAAACTGTTAGAAAAGGAACACATTTACTTATTTAACTTTGGTCTTCAACAAGCCTAACCTTTCAGTTACATTTTCTTGGACGAAGCTCATTTTCCAGGACTACACAATATGAGATTATTTACAATTCAAAGATTTAAAGAAGGCATAACAATGCAATTTTTGTTCTGGTCGAGAACATATATAAATATCACCTCAATGTAGACGAAATGCTCTGCTTTTTCAATTAGAGAACAATAAGCTCTATGAATGCTGTCTTCAGTTTGGCTTGTTCCAGCAGACCATTGGTTGACACTTCGGACGACCTGCATGATAAAATGTATAAAACTGAGACTGAACTATATGTTAGAGCAGATGAAAAAACATATACTTTCATTGATGACCATACAAGAGTGTGTTGGGTATATCTTTGAGAGAAAAATCCGAGGTGGGGCGAGTGTTTAAAGAGTTCTACTCCATGATTGAAAACCAACAAATATCACTAAAAATGCGATTTTGCCATGCTTGAAAAGAAATATATCCATTTCCAGTAGGCAAAATAGGTACTGGAACCCAGTAAATTAAAAACCATTCATGAACTTTTACACAAGTTTGATTCTAGATTTCAGTGCAACCTCCGTAAATTAAGCAGTCCTACAGTTTGGTTGATATCATAAAAAGAAAAAATGCATTCTAATCCAACTGAATGTGTAAAAAAAAATGAATACCTTTCATAAATATAAAAGATAAACTTGTACCTGACAATGGCATGAAGTACGTGGACCAACTTGTGCTAGTTCATCGGACAATACGAACTTCGAACCTTGCTCTAGTGTTTCGCACCAATAATCCTTAACTTGCGATTCAGATGCTGTTGCTTCCAATATTGCTTTACTTTGAGTATTTACCCAGTCATGATCACCAGCAGAACGACTTGTATTCATATCAGAGAGTGAAGGACCATATTTATATTCTTGATAAGCAAATGATAGAACTTCAAAATGCCCATTTAGCGGAGTCTCACAACATTCATTTGAGTTTAAACCATTCGGTTTATGTTCCAAAATCGAAGTTTCCGGTCCATTTGCTTCAGGAGGCAAAAGCAATGGGACATCTTCTGGTGGTGATTCTGATGAAAAAGAATCCTTCCTGCTGATGTCCTTATGATTCACTTCGAAATTCTTATCATAAATGTCTCTCTCTTTGCTTCTTCCCATGTAATGCGGTAAAACCATGTGGTGATGTGGCATAAGTAACGGTATTTTCTGTTCATTCGGAGCTTTGCTTTTCTGGATGAATGTTCAAATATATTAGTGATTAATTTTTTTTCACAAGTTAGACATAAGTATCAATGTCCAACCTTTGCATGGTTCCATCGCTGAATGAAGTGTCTAGCAATGTCCCTGCAAGGTGGTCCCCAAAGAGCACAATGAACATCGTGCCATGGCATCCGAGGATATTTCTCTCGATCCAGTTCATCTTTCAAAGCATCTTCCCAAGAATTTGGTTCTGATTCTCTATGAAATTCAAAGGAGTTAATGACATATATCAGAAACACTGGACTGCCCAACATATATATTACTTATTTAGGAGAAAATCAAGAAGCAATTAAACTATTAATTAAGATAATAGGCTTTTAGTTACCTACCTAGTACGTGCATTTGTGGGATGATGCTACGATTTGTCTGTTTAAGACTGTTTTATACGATACTATCAAAATTTTTAATGTATGGTCCATGAGACAATAAAAAGAAAACCGATGTAGTGCAGCTATAAAATCTATTAACCAATCGAAGTTCAAATACCAATATATCGACATAAAATATCTCATGTATTCCAATTTCTCGAACCTTATTATCTATTCCAATTTTCAATAATTGCCTAAAGATCTTACACAACTTAATCAAAAATAATATACCTTGGATTATAGTAGTCTTTTCCAGGCCATAGAAGAGGAGGGAAATCACCTACTTTATGCTCAATTGTGTCATAACGGCCAAAGCATAAATCTAGTCCTCCAATAAAGCATATCTTGTGATCTACAATGACAAGCTTTTCATGGTGCGACCTTCATATACCATACATTTTTCAGTTAGTTATTTGACCAAAAAATAAAATGCACACAAAATTTAAATGTGTACATAAATGGAAATCTCCACTTCATCCCAAATGAAATTTCTTTTGAGTTAAAAAACAACATACCATAAGTAAACTCCAGTAGACAAATGGTCAGGATATCGCAAAACTCTAACATTTTCGTGAATGCTAAGAAGTCTTCTCTTACTATATGAGCTGTTAATTTTTAAAGCTAGAGAAACTTCCTTATAAAGGAGAATGTATATCTGCATGATAATGTCTAGAAATTAGCTTTGCTAAAGGAAAAAAAAAAAACACCGTGGGTTGTTACCGGATGCAGCTTGCTGTTCCACAGTTTCTTGAAATTTATTGATAGCTTTGTTACAAATGGTTTCAGATTGACATTAAAGTATTGATTCCTCAAACTGTACCCAAAAAATGCAACTGTGACTTATATTATTCCATCATCCAATTAATGAAAAATCAATGATACTGGAAAATAACTAATTATGTTTTCAATAAATTATAATGAATAGAAAGCGAAACTAATGAAACTGTAGAATATTGATTGAGACAACAAAGTTAACCAAGAAGATAGGAATACTCATACTAACAGGACCATACATGAAACATAAACTATTTTTGACGGTCCTCAAATATAAGTTGATTAATAAAAAAATGGATATTCTTCATTGTCATCTGAACGCCTAGCTTAGCTTTAGCCTCAAGTAAAACGTCAAGTTGAGAGGAGCTGTGATTGTGAAATGGGCGTCTTAAGTACAATTCTGGGCAAAGCCACCATCCGGTTATGTATATCTGCAGACAGATTCCAGTTAGGAGAAAGGTTATGAAGTTCAAAAATGGTAAAAAAAAATACAAAAAATTAGTTATACTCCTAGTGTTGAACAACCAAACCTCTGATTTTGCATTCTCTATTGATGAAGTAATTGCTTCAAATGCTGCTTTTCCATCTACAAACCACTGAGCATGGCTTCCGTCTTCAATCAATCCTCTTGTAGGGGCAAAAGAATTAAAGCGCTGAGGCCGACACCAACTCTCAGAAGGTTTTAAACTGACTTCATTAATTGCTGAAACCCAGTCTCGCACTTTAGTAGCGCTCGTAGTTCTTAATTTTATGCTTCTATTTCCGCAAGAAACCTTTTAACCATATAAAATGAAAATCATGTGAATTGCTTTCAAGTAACAAGCTGAAGTATTTGATATACCACCCAGAAATGAATTGTAGCTGGTTAATAAAGATATTGATGAATCTAGAATAATATGTTGAGATGGCTCTCAGTGCATTCAGTTTATCATATTCCTGAGCTTTTTGTGGAAAACATATCTGCGACAGCAGAGAGAAATAATTGCTTATAATGATCAGTAAATATGCTGTTAAATCCATGGTATGATGGAAGATAATCATGGTACTAAATAAATTTGACTAGAGGTTGAGGGAATAGGGGCCATGGGGCAAAAAACTTCGTTTAAGACATGTATTGGGAATGCATTGGACCATACAAGAATAGAGCTCAGGTAGAGCAAATAGATATAAAATAAACTGTGTGAAATTAATGCTTTACAAGGCGATGGAAATCAAATAATGAAACATCAAAAAACCATGTCATGAGTCAAATAAAATAAATCAAGATAAGGCACATCATTGCATATTTTTTACCTACAATTCTAAATTTCAAGAAGTTGAAAATTTGGGAGAGGAAGCTGACCTGAAATGCATGGCGCAGGGGATTTCGTTCCTTTAATACTTTTGCCAAATAAACTTCTTCATCTCCTTTAGTATTTAAAGTTGGTAGGACGTCAAATACAATTATATCTAGGAGCTTGGTGCAAAAAGGATCCTCCAGGAAAGCCAAGAAGCCAGGTTTCAGGACGAGCCAAACCTAAATGCAAGTTAATAACAATCTTGTAGCCTCTGAATTGACATGAAAATCATATCGAGAAAGGAGAAATAAAGCTCATCGATTGTAGCAAGCAGAAAAAATTGTAATGAAATCATAACATGACTGAAGATGATGGTAATTTACAGGAAAATGGCCTCTTTAAACTAGTTTCAATCAGTGAGAGATGGTAAGTACAATCCTATATAGACGTTCACAACTTATGTTTAGATCATTCTGTTCATAGCTAGGACTAGAAGAGGTATTCTGAAATACTGATCTTCCAGAAATCCAGTTTTCTTTGAAGGATCAATGAAAGTGACTAATGAGGAATAAGGCCTGTCAACAATAAGAGTCCTATATAGCGAACTGATCTTTGAATTTGAATATGGAAACCCACTGTCTCAAATGTGTAAGGCCAAGTACAGTACGAAAAACTGCACTTGTTAATATAGCTCAGCAAGTTTGAAGTAAAAGCATGACAACTAAATGGTTACTATGCAGTATTCTAGTAAAGGCAGGAAATAGGGCTATATATGAAAAATTAAACTAAAGGCTAGACTTGCTAGTTATCATTCTTTTAGCATCTATGTCCAGGTTAATGGCAGAAATGAATTTGACACGTGAATTAGTTATGCAGGAATTGTGATGACTAGCCAGGTGCACAGCAATTCATTTAGCAGAAATATTAAATTTGTGGATAACATTACCTTTCTCCAGTTGTTGCTACAACTGCACCAATGACATAAAAAACATCTTGAACAAGCATCATCATCATCTGAAAATTTTGTCAAATGTTTTGCCATCACATAACCTTCTTTCAACTTTGGGCCATACTCTTGTAAAAATGATAAGTTAGAGACCTCCAAAAACTTGCAGACCTGAAATGAGTAGTTACAAACCCATCTTTCCTTCAATTAGCACCACGTGAATATGAGAAATGAGCAGCAGTAAAATCAACTTCAAGATCTTGGGAAAGTCCATAGAAACTGTGATTGGCATATATTCACTAAATGTAAACCATGTGATAATGAAAACAATCAATGAATATGTTTAAAGACAAACAAATGTGATGTACCTAGAAAAGTCATTCTTTGTTTCGTGAAAAGATTGAAATTAAGCAAAAAGCTATATTTTCTCTAGTGTTATCATAAAAACAAAATTATTGGATCTGGTTACACTTCTAAATTGACTTGGGTAGCATGACATGCAGTAATTTTGGTGGAGCATGAGAGAAAAAAGATAGCCGATATTAACATGTTTGATCATATTTTTTACTACCAAAATTCCCAGATACACGTAGCCATCAAACTGACAATCAAGATATTTTCTCTATGAATATGGGGGCATTCATATGCTTGCTTGATAATATTCGTGACACATCACGCTTACCTTTCTTTTTAAATAAGGAACAATAGCCAACTCTCTAGACATTAGAGTTAGGCTTTCCACTTTTATTTTTATTTTTTTCTTTTTCATGTCAAATAAAAGCTTGAGCATGTGACTATGACGGAAAGAAAGTCAGTTGGACTTTCCAAATTAGTACAACTCATAAATCCTGGTGTCTTAAACCACGGAATCATCTAATAATCAGATACACCACAAAATGGCAGTCTCGCATTGTGAACAGGAAAGACGACAATTAAATTCACGAGAAGCCAAATTAATAACAGTACTAATTAAAATTCAAAAGGATAAAATAAAAAATTATTGGGGTTTTTGCTCGAGAGACACAACAAAAAAAAGGTTTGAACTTAATAAACTTTGCCTAGTTGAGAAATATAAGTTACTAAGAAGGGAATTAACTTAGTTTGCACCTCTCGTGAATTGATAATGTCCAAGTTTCCCAGAAAATGATTCAAATAACCTTGCATTGCAACTTTTGCTTTATCTGAAATGTTCTCCTGATTTCCGATTGCTGGACGAATGATTGACAAAGCTGCCCTAGATGGAACATTTCTGCATATACAATAGTCTGTAATCACTAAATTCCTTACGAGCTAAAATCCACATCAGAGTATCAAAATTTATAGGATGAAACTTCGAATCACCTGTTTTTAGCACTATCTTCATTATATATAGGCATAGCTCCATCATCAGGTTCATCCTCATCATGCACAACTATAGTATCATCACCTAATCCTACGCTTTGAAGCCATTCCTTAATCTTTTCAGTGGAAAAGAAACAGATATCATAAGCAATATATGAAATGCATGAACCTGAATCCAATAACAAGAATTTTGTCCAGGACAAAAATCTATGTAATCTATGGTGGACCACAAAATGAAAAATAGAAATTTGAAAAGATATAGCAGGACATGTTGCCCCTCAAAGAGGAAAATGAAGAGAAAGAGTACCTGCTCTTGTTTCTCATGAAATTCCTCAATGAATGCACGCTTCTTCAATGCAAGGTGTAAATAAATAACTTGAGAAGCCTTCTTCAGCAGATGCCACTTGAACTGTCAAAATGAAGACAGTAAATTATGCCTTTATATTATCTATATGCTCCCTAATAAGATGAGCTTCAGAGGAGACATTCCTGCACTGTCTCTTCAGTTCCCTAACCATAAAGTAACAGAAGAAAGGAACACAACCTAAATCTAAAGAAGAAGAACAAGACAGAATATATCTGGTGCAATCCACATAAAACTTGGAGACTAAATGTGCACAGGTTTCTGCCAAGTTTCAGACTCTAGACTGATAGCGTCTACAACTGTCCTAAGTTCCTTCTAGTCTAGAACTCCTGGTATGTTCATATTATAGGGAACATTCAGAATTTGGGTCTTGAGTTTGATTAAACTTACGAGTATAACCTCATTATCAAAGTCTAAAGAACTCATATATACCTGAAAAATAATTGTTCACACAGACACAAGCACGATATAATCTGGATCTCCATATTCTATCACATATGTTTGGATTAAGCTTGTCCTTATAATTCCATCTTTGATTACAATTCAACCTATACATTTTCTCGACTCTATAAATTGAATGACAGACTTAGGAAACACACAACACAAGACACACAAGCTCCATAAGAAAAATCTATTAGGTGTCTTCTTCTTTACCCTCTTCTTATGCTTCAAAATTATTTTGAGGAAAGTTGCTCAGATCAAAAGGCACAGGAGCCTACATAGAATATTGCCAAGGTTCTTCTGGTTGTGTTCCCTTGTTATTTACGAGAAAAATAAATTTAAGTGACTTCAGCAACACCACAACAAATTCAGTTGTGTACTTAAGTTGTCACGGTTCTGCATGCATTCTACTAGGGTCTACTTCCAGCTGTGTGCATACATTAATGTTGACAATAGAGAAAAAAGTTGAAATTTTGAAAATTGGTCAAGATTATATAAACAATATATTCAACACCCTCTAGGTAATAAAAGACTTGGACTAAACATTACATGATCTAAATCATAATTATGAACATATCTCAATGTTTCAGCATATGACGTGAAAGATCAAACAAAAAACAATTCTAACTTAAAAGTTAGAATTAACCAATTCTAACTTAAAAGTTCTAACACTTAGAGCATTTATGGCTCATAAATCTGAAAAACAAGGAAATGATGTCGAAGAGAAAATAGTTCAATAACAACATCTTCATGGCCCATTATATTTATTTAATCCATTCCACAAGCAGTCCTACTCCTATGTAAATGAAGGGTTCAGTAATTTAGCCAGCATACAAAAACAATCCAATATTATATCACCACATTACAGGAAAAAAAGTAAGCAGGATAGTTAATAGCCAGCCTACTCTAATTTTACTAATTAGATTATCTAATTACAATTCCTTCTTCAAATCTAACCTTAATTTAATTCCTCCAACAACATTTGAACTCTCCAAGTTCATAAAAATATACCAGATTTCTTACTCGATTTTGTTCCAATTTTCCCCTAAATTATCAGCAATTAAACAAACGGCCAGCTGAAGAAAAATAGAAAGAAAAACATATAGTAAAGAAACACGCACATGCATCCCTCATTCAAATTCATATAATATATCATGTATACACGTAGATAGGCAATTGTATAATTATAAACTAATAAATAATATCACCTGTTTGTATTCCAATTCAATGGTGTACGACAAAAGCAATGGAGTGATGTCACTAGCATCTGCCCGGCAAACCGAAACGATGGTGGCCTAAGGCAACTCCTCGAAAATTCTCGCCGGTTCACGGCCGCACCGGATCGAGTGAGACAAAGACAAAGCCGACGACGGACACCGATCGCCGGCAATCAGCCTTTCAGTAGACATTACATTATACAAACAAAGCTAAACTGAAAATTATTCAACACAATTTCAGATTATCCCTTTTTTATATTCTTACAGGACATAGATACAAGAATTTGTGTATGTATATATCGGGAACTGAAATGAAGTTTTTGCTTTGAGCTGAAAATTTTCGTACTTTTTGCGGTTACGTAAAAGCATAATCTAGTTGGTAGGCACATGGAGGCTTTCAGGTGACCAGTGGGTTCATGGGATGTTCGTGAAACTGGTTAAGAGTTTGACACGTTTAATAATAGAATTTTTAATAACACGTGGCGAAATATGAATGGGTTGTTTGGTTAGTTGTAATTTGAGGATTAATTAATTTAATTATAATTAGTTTTTGCAACCAACTTGTGGAAGTGGGAGTTCAGGGATTTCTATAAAACATGTCCGAGTAATATATTCACCCCTGCAAATTTTATTACTTGCAAAACAATATAATTATACTTAAAAATTCTTAATTTTTACTCATTATAATACTTATACCTCTTAACATTTTTTCGTATCATTCTTATTCTCAAATTTTTCATTAGTTAAAACTTTTTGTATTTGACAACAGTTTTATGTTTATCTGGTTCAAGTTCAGGATGACCCAGCTACGCTTTAGAAAAGAATAGAAGATGGAGTGTCAAAATTAATGTACACAAAAGTGTACAAATGGTTCAAGTTCATTAGTTAAAACACTTTTTTGTTTTTAGTTTGGATAAATCTATATGTACATAATTATTGTACATAAAGGATTACATAGGCTTATGTGGAAGAAATCCGACGGTGAATGTGAAGTGTAGAAAAGTAAAAAATTAGATTACCGATGGATGTATGTCACATGTTAATTATGTAATGTATTATATAAATGATTATGTACTTGTAGCATGGTTCTTTTAGTTTTGCTGTTTGTACAAAAATTGGTCCCGTGCATAGAAAATTGTCATAACACACCCAACACAGGTGGGGTTCGCATTTTTGGCAATATTTAATTTCACGTGGAGCCCACCTCCATGTGAATTTTCTGCTGAACTTCTGTAGGGGATTTTTTTTGTACAAATGGAGAAATTCTTTTTTTTTTTCCTGGTATGATGAATTACAGGGGTAACATGGTAATTCCCCTATGTGGGGGTGGGATGCAGTAGCGGCGGGTCCACGATGTACAATTGAAAATTAAATGGACAAGAATAATTTATAGAAGAGTAATGCTACTTGCAATCGCTCACTGCAGCAGTTATCCTATGTGGCACTTGCTTGATTTTTCTAAAAAGTAATTTTTAAATAATCACTCAAACAAGAACTTAATATTAATACAAAGTTGAAACTAATTTTTCTTTATTGAAAAATATGGGAAGAATTCAATTTGTGGGACTTCATAGAATATTATTATTGGAACCAACCTCTTGTAAATTTACTTGCGCTCAGAGTTTTAAAGCTCGAATAAACTCGATAGTTCAAATGAAAAACTCGTAATTTGATCGTCAACTCGGTCCAGATCATTTGAAAATATGCATAATTTTCCTTGTTTTTAAGGAAAACATTTTCTTTGAGAAAGGGGGAGTAAGTTTTTGTTTTCTTCAAAATAAGGAAAACATTTTCTTTTTTCAGACGATATTTTCGATGTCAATTAAACGCGCTCTTAGTGAACGACAATTACATTCACTATCTTATTATATAATTAAAATTATTTTTATTATATTTGATAGGAGATGACAAGCAACTAACTGCATCAATACGGGATGGTATCTTGGTTCAAACATATTTAAAGAACTCGTGTTCACAAAAAGCAACAAAATCTCATTTGAAAAATAATTTAAGTCAAAATCAACAATTAATTTTAATCAAACATTTTGTGGTATACAGAATTCTTTGATCATATATTTCTTCAATTTTTATCAAAAAAATATACTAAAAATTCAATTTTAATCTCCACTAGACATATGCATAACAATAGTAATGAATATACGACTTTATTAGTATTTTGACAACAACGCATATGTTTGTCTTCAGGGTAAAGCATAGGAATAATTGTTGAAATGATGCTTCAAGTGAAAAGACAAAATGACAGCACGAGCTCATTTTCAATACACATAAAGCAGGTTGGGTTGGTACTAGCGCGACTCAGCCATGTGGTAATTACATAAAGTAAGGTGTTTAAAGAATGATTTTTAAAATTTAGGCCTAAAATTTATTTATTCAAAAATCAGGTACTATATTAAAATCCCTATTGATAATCTAATTTATCTCTTTACTCCCTTCCCCTCTCTCTCACGCCTCCCTCCTCTTCCCCATTCTTTTCCTCACGACAGCGCCTCCCTCATTCCCCTTACTTTCCTCCTCCTCTCTTCTCCCTCCTTCCCCTTCTCTCCCTCGTCTCTCTTTGCAGCGTCGCGACGATGCTACTTTGAACGGCAGCAGCATCGCGACGAGTTGCAGTTTAGTGTGGCGACGCTCCGTCGTTCACAGCGTCGCGACGCTGTCATGGGCGTGTGGCAGATCTGTATGAGTGGCTGATGTGTGTCTGGCTTTTGTTGGTGGTGGATATGTGTGTGTAGCTGTTGGCTGTTGTTAGTGTGTGGCTGTGTGTTAACTATTTGGTCAATTTGTGATCGAATATTGGTGGTGGATTGGGATTTGGAGAGAGGTGTTTGGGTGTATGTGACCAATTATACGGTTCTCTGTGGCTAATTATTAAATTGTGACCTCAAAGTTCGATAATCTGTGACCAACAAATTTGGAAATGTGATGTGTGTTATCTATAATTTTTTTTTTTTAACTTGCGACCATTAAAAATTTGTGACCTATAAATTTTTGGATCAGTGACCACTGAAGTCAATTGTATCCTCGAAATAATCTGTGATCAATTAATTTGATAAGTTATGATCGAAAATTAAATTTTAAATAATTAATAAGATATCTGCGACCAAAATGCATATAATTGTGACCTGATTTTAAAAATTTTAAAAAACTTGATTTTTGCATTGGTGAAGTTTAAAACCTGATCCATGACTTTTTCCCCAGCCATCCAAGGTGTGTTGCAGGACCTGATCAGGTTTTCGCCTGGTCAACAAAAATGCTGGATCATTTTAAGTTGTGGAGTCTAATATATTATCGTTGTATGAATTCCGCAACACAAACGACCTCCCCCATACCAAAACTTCACCAAGGACAATTTAGAAATTTTACATTTATAAATTTCAATTTTGCCCTAATTTGTCTTCTAAATAAAGAGTTATCAATAGGATTTTGTATTATCTTAAAATAGAGAGGTTATAGAAAATAAAGTGTGATTTTTTCTTATAAACTTCTTTTCGTCAATAGTGAATTATTGAAGCAATGGAAAAGGATGAATTTTCAAATTGAGACGAATCTCTATAAATCTTGCGTATTCTTATATCTATTTTGTTTTTTCGTGAGTTTATTGCTCTTGGTGGATGAATTGAGATTTCTAATTCTCAACATTCTAGGCCTGGCATGAGGGTTGGCAAGCTTACTCTATGCCGCTAACCCCAATCTAAATTAAGAATAAAATGTAGCATACCAATGTAGATAGTTTATTGTTTCTTTGGATGGTTAATTCCCAGCAACAACTTTGTTAGATGTGTAGAAGTGATTTCATGGTTGTGTGTGAAGAATTGTGACCAACAAATTTGGAAATATGATCTGTGTTATCTATAAATTTTTTTTAACTTGCGACCATTAAAAATTTGTGACTTATAAATTTTTGGATCAATGACCACTGAAGTCAATTGTGACCTCGAAATAATCTGTGACCAATTAATTTGATAAGTTGTGGTTGAAAATTAAATTTTAAATAATTATTAAGATATCTGCGACCAAAATGCATATAATTGTGACCTGATTTTAAAAATTTTAAAAAACCTGATTTTTGCATTAGTGAAGTTTAAAACCCGATCCATGAATTTTTCCCCCAGCCATCCAAGGTGTGTTGCAGGACCCGATAAGCTTTTCGCTTGGTCAACAAAAATGCTGGATCATTTTAAGTTGTGAAGTCTAATATATTATCGTTGTATGAATTCCGTAACACAAACGACCTCCCCCATACCAAAACTTCACCAAGGACAATTTAGAAATTTTACATGTATAAATTTCAATTTTGCCCTAATTTGTCTTCTAAATAAAGAGTTATCAATAGGATTTTGTATTATCTTAAAAAAGAGAGGTTATAGAAAATAAAGTGTGATTTTTTCTTATAAACTTTTTTTCGTCAATAGTGAATTATTGAAGCGATGGAAAAGGATGAATTCTCAAATTGAGACGAATCTATATAAATCTTGCGTATTCTTATATCTATTTTGTTTTTTCGTGAGTTTATTGCTCTTGGTGGATGAATTAAGATTTCTAATTCTCAACATTCTAAGCCTGGCATGAGGGTTGGCAAGCTTACTCTATGCCGCTAACCCCAATCTAAATTAAGAATAAAATGTAGCATACCATTGTAGATAGTTTATTGTTTCTTTGGATGGCTAATTCCCAGCAACAACTTTGTTAGATGTGTAGAACTGATTTCATGGTTGTGTGTGAAGAATATAAAATGTAGCATACCATTGTAGATAGTTTATTGTTTCTTTGGATGGCTAATTCCCAGCAACAACTTTGTTAGATGTGTAGAAATGATTTCATGGTTGTGTGTGAAGAAGAAAAGAAGATACTAATATGGTAAACTTTTTAAGATATAACGCGTATGCTCATACATACACGTGCAAGGTATGTTCATGCGTAAACACGACTGTTTATTAACATGGTATAGCATAAAACATAGCTGCTAAATCTACAAAGAATGCACGAGAAAACTCAATCTTACGGGGCCTAAGTTGATTTTTCAACTGTATCTCCAATTCCGGCAATTGCAATGAACCTTGGCAAGTGATGCCATGTAGTCATCAGACCTGAAATTCACACTAAAATCAGACATCTTGAAAAGCTAATAATTCTTACTGACTCGTTTTTAGAAGTATCAAACCTTGATCCATACGAAGATTGACACGCAGCAATTAAGTGAACTTTTGCTGCATCGGCCTCATTCTGCATTGGAGGAAGTACAAATTAAGTGTCATAAACAATTGTGCATTACTTTAGAACCATAAGGTTCGATGCAAACCTGAGCTTCGTAATATAGGCCAGCGTATAAGGAAGCATAGAAATATTCATGTTCCCGTCCATTTGAAAATGCTGTGACGAGCTATGCAGAGAAACCAATTACTCAGTTTAGAAGACCTCTTGAAAATAAATCCAAGTACTTCATGCATCGTGTAATTCTATAAAAAGAGATCATCACATCCGCATTCAGAAATCGTGATGAGCTTAACGTAATTTCATCTATCATGTGTGATGCAAGAACACCTTATATTTTATCTAATTCATCTTAAGTAGAAAAATCGAAGCTGGAAATGATGACAAAATAATATGGCAATATTGCATTTATCTCGTAATGAAAGACTCGGTTGAGTTGACATTCCAGACCAAGAGTTGCACAATGACATGGAAGACATCATAGCCAGTGTCCTCAAATCAATACCTCTAAATACTGCAAATCTTGTACTTGGTCAAAAACTGGGTATTACGACGTTTTTCAAACAAACCTACGAAGTTTCTCTACTAATGAGATAGTCTTCATAAAACCCTTGAAGTTGCATTGTGGAGTAAATACTACAACCTATGTATAAGGAAAATTAACAGAACAATACAAAGAATTGCAGACTAAATATTATAACCTATGTTTAAGGAAAATTAACAGAACAAACCAAATATACATGGTGTAATTACACATCACATACCATGTTTCCAAAAATTACAAAATAAATGACTAAAATACCCTGCACATATATATGGATAAAATATTTTTGACAAGTCATGTCCTTTTTTTAGTTTCGTCCTCATTTCATCTGTGCATATATAAATACACATGATAAGAAGGTTAGGCTCAAGAGGCCGAGCTCAAGCCACAAGAAAGCCAAGGTCAAGGTTCCAAAGCTCGTGGTAAGGCAATGTAGTACGAAACTAAGGAACTTGGTCAGGAAAAGATCAGCACAACAGGCACTCAATTTCAGTGTTTTCCAAGCTCCAATAGAGCATTAAACCTACCAAATATGTTGAGATCAGATGACATCAATCCTCATTCCCCTATATATGAACCTCCTGGATATTCCATTCCAGGTGCGTGCAATCTAACTTGCTCAAACTCTAATGGAATTCTCCCAGATATATAGTAAATGACTTGACTGTAAAAGTGGACTCCTCCACCACACCTGCTTCTGATCGAGCTTACTTACGAACCTCTGTTTTGCATATTTGTCTGAGCTAACTAGCTACCCAGCAAATTCGATGTCAGTAGACACTATGAGCAATTAAGGGTGGTCTCTAGAGAATGTTTGGAAACTTGATGTCAAGGATCTATAGGTGGTTATTGGATCTTATTAAGCTATTCAACTGTTCAAAAAAGGAAAAATAAGTCCGAATATTGCAGCAGGAGAAGGAAAAGATTGATCAAAACAATTCCACATAAACACAATGCTCTCATTAGAATAAAGATATTACACAATTATTTCTAAGTAGCTGATACTCCAAACCATACATGGAATGGTCTGCTGCATCTCAATTTTCTACTTCCTTCTATGCTAAGGAAGTGAATTCAAGTGTGTCTGCTTTATGGTACGTTCAAAAGGAAAAGAGAGGGGAATAAATGGGACAAGTAGACAGAAAAAAACATCTTATAAGGGATTAAAATTAAGAACATGGAATGTCTTACTAGTAAAATAATGTTGGGGAATAGCAACCGGGCATTCTCTGGATGAAAGGAAATGAATGAGGAATAAAATTGTAACACGACTTCTATAATCATTTTCTGGTTCTCAAAATTTAGCTAACTTGAATGTTAACTTTTCTCTTTCTTCCTAAATTTCATGCATCATCTATGCAAGCACCGTTTTAGGTTAATTGAAAATCAAGAAGAATGTCTTTCACTGGATTCCGTCTCCCAAAAGGTACTAAACTTTAAAGATGTTAACTGATGATGATTTATTCTTAAAAGATTATGAAGTTCCATTTCTTAAAATTAGAAAATTCAGCTACTCGCACTCTAAAATTAGACTAACACGCTGGAAGAATCCTTAAAGGCTATCTTCCATAAGAACTGTTTCCAAGCTTGATCCACAGAATCCTGGTAGCACTTTGGGTTGAACACAGGGAGTTTGTCTTCACGAAGAGAAATGAGGTGAAAAACAAAGTTTGATACTCATAAAAATTCTTTCCAAACTACATAGCTATTTGCAGTTGAATAAACTTGCTGAATTCACCTTTTCTGGGTCTCCACCATCTTTAAACATGTTGTATGCTTCCCGCATTACAGGTCGTGGATCTCTGCCAACCTGCAGTTAGCACACAAGTAATTAAATATCAATCCTCTTATGTTACAGTACAGGAGCATGATACTAGGTCGGAGATGCCTATTGGAAACTAAATGTTAATGGACAAATGGATGATTATAATACAGATCATATACGACCTTTATTGGGTTAAAAGTAATGTTACTCATCAAACTTATAGTGTTGTGTCACCTTAGTGACCAAATTTTCTTTTTCTTTTTTTTCCCCCGGTTTTGGCACTTTGTCTATCTCTGTTAGTAATGTTAACGAAACTGATCACGTGGCTAGTGGAAATAATGACGTAGCACTAAAGAACTCATTGACGTCACGTCCAGTTTCACTGTTCAGGCTTAAACAAATTTTCCGAGCTGGCTGCCAACCCATCATGCTTCATTATTTTGCTGAGCTGGATGCAAACAGCAGTAAATTAGCTGATTTTAAGTCCAAATCATATTTTTATGAGTCAAACCATCAATTTCATAAGCCATGTTATCGTTTCTGTTAATATAATTAGCAGAGAAAAAAGAAGCCTAAATTGAAATGAAAGTCAGTAACTAAGTCAGAAGAACAAATAGATCGGTGAAAATGTGAGACATCGCTGTATGTTCGGGACTTGCATTGCATTTCCGCAAAGGAAGTGGCATTTAATGCTTTAAATGCAGCCAGCCAATTTATATGTCAAGCGAGAGCAAATCGATTTTCCAATCTCAAGGAAAAAATCATTTCTGAAGACTGCAAGTACTGATTATATTTCTTAATCATTTTTTACCTTGAGAAATCGTCTTCTTGCTTCATCAACGCCATATAGCTTAGCTTCACAGAGAAAGCACCATATTGACTCTTCTGTATCATTTGGATTTTGTGCAACATCTAATCTAAATTGCTCTGCGCCTTCTTCAAACCTAAGGAAATGGACTCGCAGATCAATTGCTTTTATGTAGAAGAACAAACAACAATTAAAAAATAGAAAAAAATAAGTAAAACTAAATCATTAATTACCTATCGAGGTAGTATAATGATAACCCCCTCTGCCAGAGATCTGATAACCAATTAAAAAGTAGGCATCACTGAACATATGATGAATTCTCTCTTTAAACACAGTAAAACTCCCAAATTACATAAGAAAAATTTTATGGGTTTTGTCAGGAAATTGGAACACAATTACACAAATATTTAATTAGAAGTCAAATGCATCCATGCCATGTGTAAGTTTTAATTTTAAAACAAACTAAACTAGAATTGATACTCTAATTAATTAAAAACACCATAGTTATGTGATGCTTTAAAGAAATAGAAAAGGACTCACATGCCTTTTGGCGAGGATCAAGCTCAATTGCCTTGTCAAATTCCACTAAAGAGCCCAAAACATCCCCCTGAACAATCAAAATAATTGATCCAAAAGGATAATTGTACTAGTTTAAACTATGGAAGCATAAATTTCTACACTAATACCTGTCTGAATAGAAGCATTCCACGTCGTATCGCTAAAACGGCTTCACGAGCAGAATTTCCACCAGTTAAGGCATCCCAGAGCCCAGAAACTGAAGGCAACAACAGCCTTCTGGAGAGTGTCGGTACTGGGGTTTGATTGCTATAAATTCTTGAAAATGTGGTGCCAAACAATTGGGATTTATAGTTAGGGGTGTTTAGTGAGATCGAAGGTTTACATGAGTGGGAAGAGTAGATTATGGGAATATATAGTTTGTGGATAGCTGCCATTGATGAAGAGGACACGAAAATTGGGAGACAGAGAAATGATAAGGCGCGCCAGATTAAATTTTAGCCCAACAAATCAAAAAATAATCACCACTTTAAATTAATAAAAAAATCTGGACAAATGTAAAAAATTATCAAACGTTTTTTTCCTAATATAATTATTAATATATCTTTTAAATATAATGTAAAATTCCGATCTCAATTTTCAACCGCACAATCCATCATTTTTTATCAAAATTTATTAAAAATTTGATTGCAACAAAATCGAATAGGAGCTTAAGATGCTAGTTTGTACAAAGTCACCATGTTTTGAGATTTCTTACATGACCATTCATCTTTTGAATTTTTCTCTAGAATTAGTGTGTGTTTGTCTCTCATTATTGTAGAAGAAATGGAGTAATGAATAATATTTTTTGGAGAATGTGTGAAATTTAAAGTAACTTTATTGGTTTGTGTGTAGAATATTTTATTAGGTGAATATGTGGTGGAGAATCTACTATAGCAAACAATGTTTTAAAATAATGAGAGGCAAACGTGGCCTTATAATAATCACCATCTTAACATAGCCAAAGAATTACTAAATTTAAAATTTCAACACCCTTACTTGTAGAGATTTAAGGCACTTCACGACTATCTTCGTGCGTCATCGTCTATCTCAACCATACTATTATTATTTTACATTGTGATATTATTTCGGTTAAATTTTTATTGCATAATTGAGTAAGTGATTAACCGTACGATCACATTCATTAATACAAGCTAGGTGCTTCCATAGAGAAGTGCAGAAGATATAACTCGTGTTTTGATCAATAGTTTTTTTTGTTCTCCTAAATTGGCTAGTAGATATTTGCATTCTACTTGGGTTGTAGGTTTGATACTCTACCAATTACGCAACCCAATGTGTTAACCGCGTTGATATCCGTTCGGAACTATGACACTAGCACACTTGAAAGTGTATTGGAATGAACTAAGTAAAATGTTGATTGTCTTACGAATTATCTAAATTTGCTACCGGGAGTGATTACTATTCTTGACTTCGAAGTTCTTTTGACAAGCCAATGAGTGAGATCATTTTATTACGGTCAACACGTCGGTATGTTGGGAGTTTATAGGAGTCCAAGTAATGAACACACATGCTCATTCAAAATCCATCACCTAGTTAGATAGGTTAACGAGTTCATTTGAATATTTTTTGTCAACAATTTAAAATTGAGCTCAGTATTTGACAACGCTCGAATCGTTAATTTCATGATGGTATCACGAGGAAACTGTTAAAGAAATGCGAATTACAAGTGCTTTGACCTGATTGGAGTTTACACATGATAATACATATTGATGATAAGTCAAAATGATATTCGTTATGTAATTTTTATATAATTTTAAAGTTCAGTTTCTCACCTATAATGGAATCAGCGGAAACTAATAATTATACCCGACATTCTCGTATTGACTTACTTGCACGGAACTGTTGTAGATTAAATATATAAGTTCGATCAGCTTTAGTAAAACTGTAAAAGTTCAAGATTTAATTGCATTAGTAATAAAAGTCTAGGAATTGCATGTGCAAAAAATGCCAAAATTTAATATGAAATTGTTACATTTCTTCCAACAAACATTAAGCAAGGCCAAGTGATAGCTACACAATAAGTGAGCCCAGGCCTACATTCCACGTCATTATGCCCTTGTGGCAATTTGGCCGAACCCCATGAAAAGCTGAGCTCTTATGGATGAAGTGAGATAGGTAGAAGCGTTTTAGAGAAGATTTTGTATCAAGTGGATGATGTGACACTCATTAAATAGGCAACTGAGGTCAATCAATCAAGTCAAGTTTAGTCTTACATGTAAGGCATATGGCTGTCAAGCAGTTACAGCATTAAATGCAGTATGACTTATAAATGATTGATTGATATTTATGACAAGAAGTTCCAACTGCAAGAATGAAGCAATGTGTCTCTTCATCCAATGTCTCTTATCGATCATTTTCTATTATAAAAGCTCATACTTAGTGTCATTTCATGGTAATGCAAGTTTAAACCTCAAACTATAATTTTGTTATTCTCCAATGCCGACCCCTTTTTTATATTGGAGGCTTACGTCTAAAGCTCTGAGACACTCATATTTTTTTCTACAACTGACTTGACCGTTAGACTACGTATGGTTAACTCACCTGATGATGCCACGTGTTGCTAGCAGTTTGTTCAAGTGTGCATGAATAAAACTTGTGTGACCGTGAGTGGTCTTGTGATTTGTTGGCCACGTTGGAAGTACAGTTTTTGAGGTCAACAAAAATTGAGTGAAATCAGGGAACAAAATCCTAGCCCTAGGGGCGTGTACCAGCTCATTATGTTTTCCTCGGTTTCTCACTTTCATATAGAGAGAGATTGCTATTTCTTGTTCAATTCTACACTGTGATTCTTGAATTGGCTTTAAGGTGTTCACTCACAAAAAAAGATCTCGGGGTTGGAAATTGGAAGCTTTACGATTGTTGATCAAGATTCAATATTGCAATATGAGTTGTTCCTAGTTAAGAATTCAGGTTTAGTATTAATCATACTAAACTTGTTGAGTGAATTTTCATTGCCTAGATTTTTACGTATTTTCCAACAAACACATGTTGGGCTTAACATCAAATGTCGAGTACCCATTGAGGGACTTTGAGCTTGTACTTATCTATTAGCCATAGGCAATGATACTTTCAGTAAATGCAGGATTTTCCTTCATCATGCAAAGTTCTTTATGAAATGCTATCCCTCATAGGAACATTAGAATTAGACATCTTAGAACGAGGAGCAATTACAAAGAAGATAGAAAAGAGAGAATTTTTAAGAGCAAGAAGAGATGAGATGGATCTAAAACAAGAAGAGAGAATTTTTGATGGAGCTGGAAGTCTAATAAGATATAATTATAGGTTTTGTAGGGATATTTTTGTAGGAGCTTTTAAGAGGCATTTTTAAGATAAAATAACAGTTTACAAGGTATAACTCTTCAAACTAATAATTTCTCTAAATCAATATTCAAAGATGGGTCCCAAGAGAGTTAATTAATCCAATGGTAACTGAACTTGTGTTCATGCTTTCAGTTGCTCACTGAAATTTGAGATGTCAAGTTTTGAACCATTAAATTTTGAAAAACGTTAAACGTTACTCACCAATATAACTCCCATTAGAAACCTTTAATGGAATTGATGATGTGGCCAATGAAATATACACGTGATGTCCAATCATGCCATCAAATTTTGAAAAGGTCAAATTTTAGTCGCAAAACTTTGAAAAATGTTTTCGATTGCTTACTAAACTTTGAAAAACATCTTCTACTACTCACTAAACTTTAAAGTGATCAAATTTTGGTCGCTAAATTTTGAAATGGTCGAATTTTGGCCACTAAATTTTGAAATGGTCGAATTTTGGCCACTAAATTTTGAGGTGATCGAATTTTGACCACTGTGTTGACCTATGGTTAATTTAAAACCTCAAAGATTTGATAATAATAAACAAGTTGGTTTTATTTACTAACGAGTTGAATTCAAGTGATTATAGTCTTTCAACGCGTACAAAGGAAAATTGATCAATGGTCGTTAAAAGACCAAAAACTATCCTCACAAATCAGACTTTTGAAAGAAGTCAAGATCGAAGCCACATTCAAGAAATTAAGAGCCAAATTTCGAAACAAGATCAAATACTTGTTTCTTAGCTAAGAATGTAAAGGTACTAACACTTTAATATATGTCATGAATGACAATAGCTCAAACCGTTCTATGCATTAAAAACTACTTGATGCATTAAAAAGCGATTCGAATACGATGATTTGATCAAGTGAAAAATGACGTTTAAAAAATAACTTTTGGATTCGTAAAATAATTTTTATGTTGAAAAGTTAGTGCAAAATGCTATCCAAAAAACCATACTTTTCAAAAATCTCAAAGCAGAACAAACGACGTCAAAAACGGAGGATCGCCAAACTGCATTGGCGGTCGACCGGACTTCTCCAACGGTCCAAAATTTGACAATTCCGACCTCTAATTTTTCATGTACAAACGATTATATTGGTCATCTGGAAATTGACAATCGACCGACTGGTCATCCGATTTGACAAAAAATTTGGTGTTTTTCATTTCTATAAATGCCAAATCACTTGTCATTTATTACAAGTACTTGAGAGCATTCAATTGAGATTCTCTTGAGCTAAAATTGCATTGATTTCTCATCTTATTTATTATTATCAAATCATTCTTGTTTTGAAAAACTTTTTATTGATCTTAACTTTGAAAATCATTTCATTCATCAATTTTTTTCAAATCTAACTCTTGAGTTTTATTCATTGCTATCTATTTAAGTGTTAGCCTACTTCTCTTCTTGTACTCAACTTTGAATTTATCATTTATTAAGAAGAGAATATTTCACCTGTAGATTTATTTTGAATTGTGAGTCGTGTTGAGGTCCCGGAAAGCTCAACGTTGTAAAAAGATCGGTGCTTCTTGTTTGTAAATCACCGAAAGCTTTATAAATGGTTGGATTGCACCATAAATCAATCAATATAGTGAAAAATACCTTACTCATACGGAGAGCTTGGTAACGGGGGACGTAGATCGTGTTTGGGATCTTTATATTTGTGCATATTTGTTGAATTGTTATAATTGTTTGTATATTGTTTTAAGACTTGAATTTATTTTAGAAAAAAATTTGAAAACCAATTCACCCCCCTCTTGGTTAGCTACTCTTGGGCTTTCACACTAAACTTTGAAAAACGTCTTATGTTGCTCACAATGAATTTGGATTTAATTAAAACTTGTTGTTAAGTTTTGGATTAAAATTTGAATTTAATTTAATTCTAACTATTGTACATTTTGTCCGCAACATCACCAATCCGTTAAAGATTTTAAACATAAATTATACCGGTGAGAGACGTTCAACGTTTTCTAAAGTTCAATAGCCAAAACTCGACATTTTAAATTTTAGTGAGTAATTGAAGTTGAGATATGAATTCAGTGACCATTGGAACAATTA